CCACTGCTGGGAGAAGCCGTCAGGGAAATAACCCATCAGAGAGAACAGGTCCTGGGAGACAGGCACTTGCCATCTAGGGGTGCTGGCTCCCATCTGGCCCCAGGACAGGGACTGGGTGGCTCTGGGGGATGGGGAATGGGGCACGGAGCCTATCCCCTCTAGGAAGCATTGGATCCCATCTGGTCACAGGGCATAGACCGGCTGGCTCAGGTGTGGAGAATAGGGCACAGGGCCTTTCCTTGCTAGGGGACGCGGGTTCCTGGAGCGGTGTGTTGTGCTCTTGCCAGTCTCCAATGCAGGCAGGGGGAAGGGGCTGCAGCTCCTGAAGGAGGTGCCACTGACCTGCAGAAGGCAAAGATCCACCAGTAGAGGCTGCTCTCCCACTGCTCGAAGAGGAAGAAGAGGAGGGCCACGGCAGCAGAGGCATGGGCCCCAGTGGCTGGGGGGAGCAGAGTCAGAGACCAACAACAGGGACTGATTGGAGAGGCAGAGGTGGGCCCGATCTCTCCACTGCATATGCCAGCGATGCCAGCCAGGGTGCTCTATTGAGTGACACCTTGTCTTTCCCATTCCCTGTCCCCCTGAGCCAGCCAGTCCCTGCCCTGGGGCTGGATGGGAGCTGATACCCCCAGAGGGGACAGGTCCCTACCCCATTCCTTCCCACTCCCCGAGCCAGCTGGACCTTAATGGGAGATGGCACCCCTAAGAGGGAACATGTCCCATACCCCACCAGCCTATGGAGGTCAGCACCAACGCCCAGAACAGAAACAGGGTTACCTCTGAGCAGCTAGTGCAGACCAGAGGTAGCGCCTCCTGGGGACAACAGTCACTATCCTGGGAAGAGGGGAAAGCAGGCATGTCCCCAGGGGTTGATGTGAACACCAGTGCGGGGAGGGGGTGCAGAGATCAGCAGGGCAGAAGGATACAGAGCAGGCTCTGCGTGTTGTTGAACATGGATATCCCAGAGAGGAAGCCGGCCAGCTCCACGGCGAACAAGCCCAGCGTCACTGACAAGGCCACCACCAGCCTGTGGGGGTCAGTGCCAACGCCCAGAAGAGAGAGAGAGTTACACAGGTGCAGGCTGGAGAGCATAACCCCCCCAACTGCCCCCACCCCAGAGCCTACCAACCCCCACTCCCAGGCCAGTTCTGCCTGTCTCAGTCTCTCCACAGGCCCAGCTCCCCTGTCCCTTCTCCCACTGTCTCTTGCTGCTTCCTCGTATTTTCTCCCTCATGCTCTTCCTGGCCCATTTTCCTGTCCCCCCCTCCCAGGTGCCCCCCGATAGGCCCCAAGCCCTGCCAGGCCAGGCCAGTTGACCTCTGGCACACCCGGTCCCTGGCTGACTGACTCACTCCACGTCCTGGCGCTCATACTGCTGCTGGCTGTACTGCAGGGGCAGTGAGGCACGGACATTGTTGTCCTGGAAGATAGGAGGCAGTGAGGTCAGCCCTGCAGGGTGCAGCGTCCTGAGCATACAATTCAGCATGGGAGATGTAGGAAGAACACAGCAAATGCAAGGGAAAGCACACCAGTGGAGCAGACAAGAATCCAAGAGTCCTTAACCCACCAGCTCATATTCCCCTCCCAGAGCTGGAGAAAGAACCCAGGTGTCTCAGTTCCCAACCACCCTTAGCCTCTACCTCCTTGCCACAGCAAGGGCTGAACCCAGGAGTCCTGATCCAGCTTGTTGCTACCCACTTCCCTACAGCCACAACCCCTCCCTGGTTCCTGCGGCCCATGCACTGTATGCTCTTCTCACCTGTGGAAAGTGACTGTATGTGTGTGTGTGTGGGGGGGGGAGGAATAAGTAGAGGATGCTGGATGGGTGAGATGGGAGCCCTGCAAGGATGCATGTTGGAGGACTGTGTAAACTGGGAGAGGGGGTGCGTGTGTTGGGAAAGCTATAAATGTGTCGCAGATTTGTACCTCATAGTGGCAGGCGGGTGTTGCCAGGACAGCATACAGCATGTCATACAAGTGTGCATGGTATGGATGGGTGTTGCACAGATGCGTATCACTGGGCCAGGCATGTTGCATGTTGTAGTCATAGGCATGGTAAGGGTGGGTTTGTTGTATCTGTGTATGCTGTAGATATGGTTGTTGTTATGCGCGTTGTTGGGCTTCGCGTGCATTACAGGCATCATTCGTTAGTGTGGCATCAAAGTTGGCATGCTGTATGGGTGTACAGTACATCATAGGCATGGTTATCAGATGGATATGCACCTTCAGAATGGACATGTGATACAGCTGAACATGAGAAGGGTGGATATGCTTGGGGTGAGCGGGCAGTCATTCTATAAGGGTGCACACCACAAGCATCAGATCGGTGTGCGTTATTGGCGTGGACAGGCAGGCGTGCTGTGTTGGTGTACGTGGTGGATGTCACATAGGTGTGTATTGTCTGGGTGCACAGGTGGGTGTGCAGGGTGTATGTTGTGGGGATCACAGGGGGATGCGCAGTCAGGGTTTCTTACCCGGGACCAGAAGATGGTGATGACGATGACAAGATGAGCTGTGAGGGTCAGGAAGCGGGCAGGCACCAGCCCGCTGACCAGCGCCATATGGCCCGTGTCCCTCACGTGGTCAGGGTCCTCTGGGCAGGCCTGACTGGGGGGAGCAAAGGTGTCAGACTGGGGAGACCAAAGGAAGCACTAGGCCCCCCACCATATTTCTGAGGAGTTTCCCCATCATCTCCCCAGTAGAGCCCCATGTCCATCACTCCTCCCCCACCCCAGCTCCTTTTCCATCCCCATCGCTGCCTCCCTGTGGCGCACCCCATTTCACCCTATCCTCACTGCGTGGTGACATCTCCCCTCCCTCATGAAGTCCCCCCCCACTCCCTCCCATATCTATTGCCCTACCCCCACATCATCATCTCTGCATCACCATCTGCACCCCCATCCCCTTGAGACCTCCTTCTCCATTGCCCCCTCCTGTGGAACCCCCCCCCTGCACTCTTCCCCCCATGGAACTCTCCTCCCCGCACTCTTCCCCCCATGGAACCCCCC